TTCTCTGGATCTGAAAGATGCCTACTTTCACATCCAGATAGCCCCCCATCACAGGCAATTCTTGATTTGCCTTCGAGGGAGTGGCATATCAATACATGGTCCTTCCCTTCGGGCTGTCCCTAGCTCCTCGCACTTTTACGAATTGAGACAGATGGGAATCCGCATTCTGAATTACCTCGACGACTGGCTCATCTTTGCCCAGTCGGAGGACAAGCTACTATCTCACAGATCCTCACTCCTCAGCCACTTGGAATGCCTGCTCAGGGTTAATTTTGCCAATGGATATCGTTCCTGGGAACAGTTTTAGACGCAGCCCAAATGAGGGCGGTGGTTGCACCAGAACGTGCACTGGCCATACAGCAGCTTGCGGCCTCATTCAGAATTGGAGCCTCTTGCCCTCTCAAGGCATTTCAGAAGATGTTGGGCCTCATGGCCGTCGCGTCACTGGTACTTCAGTGGGCCTGCTTCGCATGCTGCCCCTTCAGTACTGGCTGAAACCACGAGTTCCATCCCACGCCTGGCGTCTCGGACGCCTCTGTATCAAGGTGGATCAGGCCTGCGGGGCAGCCCTGGCCCCTTGGAAAGACCCTCAGTGGATGGAACAGGGCGTGCCCCTGGGAATGGTCTGCAGAAGGAAGGTGGTCTCGACAGATGCTTCCAACATGGGTTGGGGAGCGCTGTGCGACGGCAAACTGGCTTTCGGCCACTGGTCGAAAGTGGAGAATCGGCTACACATCAACTGCCTGGAAATGTTGGCAGTATGTTTGAGCCTATATAAATCACCAGGGTGGTCTATCCTCGAAGCGTCTCTTCATCCTGGTAGAGCACCTCTTGGAATGGGCTCAGCTCAACTTGTGTTCACTGAGAGCAACGCATGTGCCAGGCAAATTGAACCAGGGAGCAGATATGCTATATTGGAGTAATGTCCCCTCAGATGAGTGGATGCTCCACCCACAAACGGTTCAGAGAATCTGGGAGATCTTTGGCAAGGCAGAGGTCGACTTCTTTGCCTCAAAACACAACTCTCATTGCCCAACTTATTTCTCGAAAGACGAGGATGCACTGTCCTACGATTGGCCCAACCTCCTCTACGCTTTTCCCCCAGTCGTCCTGATCCCACAGGTAATCAGACGAATCAGGGAACAGAAATACAAGGTTCTGTTAGTTCATACATTTTGGGAGGTTGCAGACCCTATTTCCTGCGACATATCTCTGATTTTGTCCTTCCTGCAAGAGCGGCTGGATAAGGGTCGTCTCCCTTCCATGCTCAAAGTCTATGTAGCAGCCATAACAGCCTCTCACGCTCCTATAGCTGGCCAATCGGTGGGCAGGCCTAGTTGTTCGTTTTTTGAAGGGGTCTAGGAGGCTGAACCCGCCTCGACCCATCACCGTCCTTACATGGGATCTGCCCACAGTATTGAGGGCTAAGGAACAGTCCCTTTGAGCTGCTACAGTCTATTGACCCTCGTCCCCTGATGCTGAAAACTGCTCTGCTACTAGCGTTAGAATAGGTGAAGTATATGGGAGATTTGCAGGTGCTCTCTGTGAGCCCCACCTGCCTCGAATTCGGGGCCAGCGTCTCTAAGTCATCCTGAAGTCAAGGCATGGTTACGTACCTAAAGGACCCTGATAATAACTCTATCGGCGCTTCCTCCTTCAGAGAAAGACCAGGAGTTGAATTTACTCTGCCCCGTCAGGGCGTTGAGAGTTTATGTTGAACGCTCTGCCCCGTTCAGGCAGTCGGATCAGCTCTTAATATGCTTCGGTGGCCGCACCAAGGGGTTTCCGGTCACGAAGCAGAGACTTTCCAAATGGATAATTGACGCTATTGCGCTAGCATACTCTTCTTTGGGCCTACAATGCCCCATGGGAAGAAGAGCCTACTCAACTAGAGGTGTCGCCTTTTCCTGGGCTTGGTCTAGCGGTGTGTCAATCGCAGAGATTTGTGCGATGGCCAACTGGACCTCACCGTCCACATGGCCTTACAGGCCCGGGTCCTATCTGCATAAATGAGCTCACTCTTGTAGCTGCACGACTCAGTCGTCACTTCAGTCGAAGTAACCTGAGGACCCTACGATGGAATGCCCACTTATATAGCCAGATGGCCCTGACCATTCTGGTGGGGCTTCGTCGCCATAGGCTCGGGCAGCTCTGCTGTCGAGCCATCGGTTTGTGTTTTATTCACTGCACGGACCAATAGCCGTGCAGTTACACTGCATTATTGAAAAAGGCTTCAGTCATCGGAGAAAAAGGAGTTTTCCCCATAGCGCCTTAGCAGACGCAGTACTTGTCCCGTTTCTCAAGTGTGTCAGTAGGAAATATCAGTTTACATTTTCAAACATTCATTAATTGTAAAAATCCCTTGAAATTTTTGTTTGCTCAAGGAGTCAGACAACAGCCAGTGCTCCACACCGAGATCTGATCTGATCATCATCCAGTCTGTCTGCAATGACATGAAGAAACAGAACAAACTGAGACAGACTAAATCCAGAAGAACTGTGGCAACGTCTCCAAGATGCTTCAAGAAACCTACCTGCAAAGCTACAGTACTGTTAAAAGTTTTAGGCACTTGCTAAAAATGGTATAGAATGAGGATGCTGTCAAAAAATTATGTTTGCGGGTAGGTTTCTTGAAGCATCTTGGAGAGATGTCTCAGTTTGTTCGTTTTTTCATGTCATTCCAGACAGACTGGAAGATGATGAGATCAGATCTCTGTGTGGAGCACTGGTAAAACTGACCCCACAAAAAAGGATGAACATGCTGTTGGACAAAGCTAATGACTCAGCATGAAAGTAGTGATCTATAGGGATAGAAATAATTTAGGTTTCACTTTCATTTGTGTTTCAAAGATAATCAAAAGTCTCATGGGTTTGGAATAAAACAAGTGTGAGTAATTAACACCAGAATTTAAATTTTTCTTTCGCCTTGCATCATGCCTAACAACGCCCTTCAGCCATGACTTATTTACAATAACAGCAAGGCCTCTCATACCTTATTTCAGCAAAATTAACTGTTTGTTATTTACTAGCCCTGCACAATGCCGACGTCCTACATCATCCTCCCGGAGCTGCTTCCGTTTACAACAGTGAGCACAAGCTAGATGAAATTGATTATTACATTTTAAATGTGGTTATTTTTCTTACAAAAACGCATCGATTCGCTACAGGAGGCCTTTGTTCACTCCCTGGAGCCATGTGAGGCACTTTTTATTATGGATGGATGCGCTTTATTTCACTTCTTTTGGACTGATGAACTGCAACACCTGCTGACTGCCATTAAACAGCTTGGAAGATCAAAGACAATTTTTAATATAACTCCGATTGGATTCATCTGAAAGAAGAAAGTCATATACTCATTTACATATACTAGGATGACTTTAAAACATCTTATAGTACAATAAATAAACAACGTAGCAACAACATGGATCATAAACATCATGAATCATGACTATCAGAACTCATATATACACACTCAAAGAGAATGTTTGGTTTCTCAGGCTACTCCTTTCAAGCAGTAATGATGACTCACACAGGATGTTTCAACTTCCCACGATCCTTTGCTCCAAGAGTCCCCTGGGTGACTATTTGCAAGATTTTAGGTCATATCAGATTAGACACACAACATTCTTGTATTGCTAACCCTAAAGGACTTTCACAATACTGCAGAGCTTGCACTGTCTTTTTGTCTGTAACTCAGTGACTCTTGGTGATAACCTTAACATAGAAGTGTCATGTGGTCATGCTCTGACATAAGGAGGCAAAATTGTAACGCTGATGGAGTTGTTTAATCCAATGTAAAATCATGGTCCAGGTTCATTAGATGTTTATTCAGTTTCTGGGTGGGTAAGTAAATAAACAAATACATGTCTTATAAATCAACAATCAACAACCACCCTATACTAGTTTTGGTCACATATTATTTTATGGTCTAATTTTCACAATTAACAAACCATTAACTATGATTTTTGCCTCAACTCCTAATTTGCTACTTGTTAGTTAGTAAAGTGGTTTTGTAGGTATTGGGTAGGATTAGGGATGTAGAATATGTGCTAATAAACAGCCAAGACTTCAACTAAAACCCAAGGATTTGTTACTTTATGAACAAAACTCAACAGAAATTCATCAGCTCATTTGTAGGTTTTCAAGCATGAACTTTGTGTTCTTGGACTTGGACTAGGCCATTCTAAAATGTAAATGTTCTTATGTTTCAGCATTTGGGGTAATGTTGGCATGTTTTGGATAATTGCCTTGCTGCATGACCTAACTGCACTTCAGTTTCAGCTTACAAACAGATGGCTAATTCTCCTGGACAATTCTTAGACACAAAGCCAAATTGATCTTGATAGAGTCATGTAGACTGACCTTAGCCAAAGTGAGCAAAGAGATTATGTTTACTCCTTGAAAATACTGTAAAAGTTCTTTAAAATTTGGATTTTGTAGAGTGCATAAAGCCATTAGAGTGTAAAAAGCCAAGTTGTGTAATTACTATCGAATACAAAAGAATTTTCAAGGTTTTCAGTCAAGTACTGTAGTTCTAATGAAGGATTTGAACACCTCCACTGCTTGTCCCGTCCCGTTCTGTCTGAAAACTTCAAAATTGGTGATTGTGGTATAACATTTGTATAACCACAAAAAAAAAAAAAGAAAAGAAAAAAATTTAAATTATTTAAAAATGTAATATGATGGTATTATCATTTTATGATGGATTTTTATATTTTAAGACTAAATGTCAATTAATGGTCAATGACGGTCAATCAAATGTATACATAACGTACATTTTAAAAGTAGTAAAATATATTAAATGAACACACAGTAGAACAAAAAAAGGTTTACCCGGTTTTTTTTAATGACAATTAGGCTATATAACAAAATAGTTTTAATAAAAATCAACATCTGGGATATGAAGTGCCATAGCTAAAATAAAAACTTCTCATATGGTAGAGATATGGCAAATATCATGACTATTTTGATAGTTCATGTTTGGTTGTTTCTTTATTGCAGGTATGTGCACGAGGTTTCTTCCTGAGTGAGCAGGAAACATGTCTCCCCTGTAACTGTAAAGGCCATGCTGACAGCTGCGAGGACATTACTGGGATATGCATTGTAAGTTTCAAAACTCTTTAAACCATCTGTCTTTTTTAAACATTATTCCATGACGTCAATACCCATCTATTCTCAAAATGTAAACAATACCACGTGGAAATTTTTTTTATGTACACCAAAGAGAAATAGAAGATGGTATTTGGATGAATAATCTAATTAAACAATAAATGAAACACCTTACCACAACTTAATTTTTCGACCGTGTCCATTCACTGGTTCCTCACATCCTTTAATTACAAATATCAAATAAAATTCTGATCCAGTATTGAGAAGGCAACATACAACCATAAAAATTCCCACAACACATGCTATAATGCTAATGCTAGCATGCTATAATTTTGCTTTGCCCCAAAAGCAGGGACGCGGGAAGTAGGGGTGCTGAGGGGGCTGCAGCACCCCCTGTTTTCACATGGTTGCAAATGCAACGCCAAGTTTGTACATTTACATTTATTCAGTTTTAGCATTTAATAATTTATTTGTAATGATCTCTGAAATGTAAATTGTAAGTGGGCTATAATAAACCCATGTTTATCTTTATAAACATGATTAATTTTACTTGTGATGTTTTCTATATGGGATGATTAGCCTAATCCTCATGAACACGTGACGCTAGCGCATGGTATCAGACATGAACTGTACAGAATGCGAACAAGATTAACTTTAATACAAGGAGATAATGGCGCAAAAGCGAATATCAGATTTTTTAAAATGCCCATTCCAGCAAAAACTTTCCAAAATCAGCATCCAAACAACACCAGCCCCAGCACGAGCACCGACGTAAGTGAACCAGCCCCCCCCCCCAACACAGACATACACAGCACCCCCAACCGAAAACATCTTCCCGCGCCCCTGCCCAAAAGGCAACAAATACATAATTTAAAGGTTAGACAACTTTACATTTTAAATGATAAATATTTGTAATAAATATATGTAAATGCTTTAACAATAACACAAGCTTCAGAGGGGCTAAACAGAAATTCTTCTGTGTGGTAGTTGCATGCACATATGGAAGGGCTCTTCAACTCCAGTCCTGGAGGGCAGGTGTCCTGCAGACTTTAGTACCAACCATAACCAAACACCCTGGAACAAACTCAGTGTTACTGGCAAATTAAAGGCAGATGTGTTTAATTTGGGTTGGAACTAAAGTGAGCAGGACTCTCCAGGACTGGAGTCAAAGAGCCCTGACACATGGTGTTGATAGAGTTTAACATTTCTGTAACTTGCCAGTCTAACCAGCCAGTGTATTTAGAATGTTTTGCTGAAATGCACCATTTTTTGTTTCAGGAATGTCAGCACCACACTTTTGGAGATTTCTGTGATCAATGTGAAGATAGATATTTACCTGGGTTTCATCCTGATGGCACCTTTGTGTGTAGACCATGTGCCTGCCCGCTATCATTGGAATCTAACAAGTGAGTCCAGATATGAGCTCTGGCTAAACAAAGCAGGCTGACACAAAACATAACAGCAACATGAACAAAAAAATTAAAAAATTAAAAAAGTTGATGACTTTGGTTTTTGTTATTCAGCTTTAAATATTACACGCATTAACAAAGAAATAACGTTATTTTCATTATTAATGTTGCTACTTGTGCAACTGAATCTGGTTTACATTTTAAGCATGCATAACAACATGTTTGGCTGCAGTCCAGAGACCGCCAAGTGGGAAGGCCTTATGCCACATGTAGGTGGAAACCTTCCAGCAGTTAACTACATAGATGCAGTGATAGAAAGGCACGACAAGTATCAACTCTAAAGGAAAAAAACAGCTATTAAAACATAATGTCAAGACTTTCCATTGAGGTTTAGATTTAATTTCTAACAGTTTCATTGTTATTATTACTTTTTTGTCCAATGGCATGAAATTTAGGCATTGGACTCATTTTTGAACATCATAACTCATGATGGCATAGAGTGATGGTATTTCATGAAAATGATTCTAATAAAACAACAACAATGACAGATCAGACGGAAAATGTATGTAGTGTATAATTGTCTTATTCCTTGCCATTAGAGTATGCTGAGTACTGTCAGGGTCAATTTCCAACTCACAGGCATCTTCCAGTAATAACAATATTGGTGGCTAATGCACAAAGTCATGCGACTGTTACAAGCAAAGGGCACAGGACCATGAATCTCAAAGCTGTCAGTTTGGACCTGGCATGTACAGTATGTGGGGGATGTCTGATACAGACATTGATGTCTGGATGGAGTAGTAGGGTTCTTCGGCAGCTGCATCTGTGACTGCTCGGTTCTTTTTAGGATCCATCCTACTCATCACACATGGGGAGGGGCTGGAAACCACAATTATTAGTCAGAAGAATGTGTAAATTATTAAATTTGGAACTCCCTGCTTTCAATATTCCACCAAACAAATTCAGGATTTTATGTCAGACTTAAAGGAAAACGTTGCTGATTTTCATTCCAGCGGCCTCGTTTCGCTTCGACGGCTTTCAGCCTCACCCTGCTTCATTCTACTACATTAATAAATCATTAGCTCATCCATGAACATTATTTCTGCCCGAGTCCCGTCGCATTGCATCGGCTGTGGGGATGAAGACCACCACTCCCATGATTCCACACTCAGTCACAGCGTCATCAAACTATGCCTTTGCCTCTTTGTTTATTTTGAATACGCGCCCTCTAGTGGCGAAAATTACATATTGTGCCTTTAAAGCACCAGGGATCATAAAAAATACATTTTGTTTATTATTCATTACTGAATAACTAATGAATATAGAAGTTGCATGAATTGTAAGTAGTATTTCATTTATTCCTATTTCCGTACTGCATATTGATATACCGTTTACAATCATTGTTGGTTAAACTGAAGCCCAAGTGCCACCCACAGGCCTGTTATGTGAAGTGTAAGCAATTTAAGTTCAAGAACATGGGAAGGAATTGTATAATTATTTTCATAATAATGCATTTATATAATTTTACTATAGTAGTTGTTAAATTGGAATTACTCTATATGTAAATGCCCCTTTTTTACATTTGAGCCCCTGCCCCCAAGGAACTCTCTGCACATCCCAAAAATTCAGTCTTGAGGTCATCAATGCATGAACTAGCTTTTTTGCATCAGAAAGAGGTAACATGTTCTGCAGCTTGCTTCAAATGTGGATAAAGGCTAAAAAAAAACTTTACTAAAGTTTACCAAAATAGATTTTGTGATCTTTGAAAATCATTAGATGATTGGAAAAATCAAGCAAAATGGTTGGTAATGATGTGGAAATCCTGAAATAGTATCCTGAAGGATGACTCTGATGTTTCTTTGTTTGTGTGTGTTCTCAGCTTTGCAACTCGCTGTGATAAGAGAGGTAATTTTCTGAGATGTGTGTGCCAGGAAGGGTATGCTGGACACTACTGCGAAAGGTTGGTTCTCCACCCACAAATAGCATGTTATACATAGTTGGATTTTTGTATTTTACCCCTTAATTATATTTTTCTTCCCGCACCACCAAGATGTGCCCCAGGTTTCTATGGCAATCCAATGGAGTTGGGCAATTCCTGCAAAAAGTGTGACTGTAATGGCAACTCTGACCCAAACCTTATCTTTAATGAGTGCAATAATGTGACGGGCGAGTGTCTGAACTGTTGGGGTAACACCAGTGGTGACAACTGTGAAAGATGTGCACTGGGTTTCTATGGAGATGCCATCAGTGCCAAAGACTGTCGGGGTAGGTGCCAGCGACAGTACAATACATTGCTGACCACGTGAAAAGTTATCTGCTAATATCTAGACAACAGGGACGTCTACATACCGCAATTTCTAAAGTTGTAAACTTTGAAAACCCTTTTATGCTAACATACACATGACTCTGACCAATTGTGGCTTAGTGTTAACAGGACCCAGCAGTTACATTATATATTACATCATATTATTTATTTTGTTGAATAATATCGGTATTTAAATGCAAGATATTCAAAGTGTACCTAAAGTATACTTGCAATAGTTCCACTTGAAATATACTTTTGTTGGACTTCAGCACTATTTCCGCACAATTAAAGTGCATTAAGCACAAACAAGTTTTTCCACTTTAGCAGACTTTAAGTATACCAGTTTAGAATGGTAAAAGTACAATTGCAGGGTATTTTTATTAGGTACATAAACATGTAAAAGTATTTGTAGTATACTTAGCATGAAATACATTTATTTCAAATACATTAGTACACAGTATACATATATTTTTTACTACAGTAAAAGCTTGCTAACATTTTCATGATATAAAAATAAAGGTCTCTATCAGGTTGTTGTTAAAAACAGTTTTGTATGAGCATTTCTCATGATTTACAAGCTATCTGTCTTGTTCTCTTAGTTCGACAGTGCAGCAGCAAGTATTTGAGGCTTTTGGGAGCCAGATGCATTGCAAGCTGATTTGCTTGTCAAACCAGGACTGGCCTATGTAAATATGGAGTTTTATGGAGATTGTAGTTCTAGTGATACTTAATCCATAGTGGTAAGACTTTAAAAATGTGTGTAATTATGCTTCTATAGCAGTATCAAACAGAACGGCAAAATAATCATTTCAAACCGGTTTCTCCAAACTCTCCAGCATCAACCATGGTCTCTTCAAAAACTAGCATCAATGGTTTATTCAATGTTATTGTGTTCATTAGATTGTTCTAAATATGTTGCGAATGTATTATATTAATGGCTCAAGTGAATCGCAGTTTTGTTAGGTTGTTATAAGGTCTCTCTCTTTGTTTTACAGAATGTCAGTGTGATAAGTGTGGTACTGCATCATGTGATGACAGGACAGGTGTTTGTCACTGTAAGCCTGGAGTCACAGGTCACCTATGTGACAGATGTGAGGTATGGACATTCATGACACACTCAAGGAAATGTAAGGCCAAGAAATTCCATCTTAGAATGCATGTACTGTATGCTCAAATACATGCATGTGCATACTGAGCACATTTAACCTGCATTATCTTTTGAGAATCTTCAAATTTTTTGCATATACAGGAGGGTTATTCTGGATTTGGCAGCTGTATGGGTTGCCGTCGGTGTGAATGTGCCTCTGCTGCCCTCCGTGCCACCTGTCACCCTCTTACACACAGCTGCCAGTGCCGCCCGGGGGCTGGAGGCCGGTACTGCGAGCGCTGCCTGCCAGGATTCTGGGATTACAGCCCATCCGGCTGCAAGAGTGAGTCTGAGCGATCTCACTGCATATGGCATGATTCACTGCTGGAGCAGGTTCAGCCCATTTCAGTGTCTGTTCTATTTTGCAAGAATTGCAATGTAAAGACTTTGTAGTTATTCTGAAATTATATTCATTAGGTTGTTTTTACACTGGATTTCAAACAAAACAAAATACAAAGACAAAGAAAAGACAATTCTAAAAGTTAAATTTTATGGTTTCAAAAGACTCATCAAACCAAACTCTTCGAGACTTCAAAATAACCTACAGTATATGTGACCCTGGAGCACAAAACCAGTCATAAGTCGCACGGGGATATTTGTAGCAATAGCCAACAATACACTCTATGGGACAAAATTATCGATTTATTTTGATGCCAAAAATCATTAGGATATTGAGTAAAGATCATGTTCCATGAAGATATTTTGTAAATTTCCTACCGTAGATATATGAAAACTTAATTTTTGATTAGTAATATGCATTGCTAAGAACTTAATTTGGACAACTTTAAATGTGATTTTCTCAATATTTAGATTTTTTTTGTACCCTCCGATTACAGATTTTCAAATAATTGTATCTCGACCACATATTGTCCTATCCTAACAAACCATACAACAATGGAAAGCTTATTTATTCAGCTTTCAGATAATGTATCAATCTCAATTTCCAAAAATGGACACTTATGACTGGTTTTGTGGTCCAGGGTCACATTTAATGAAAGTGTGCAGCAGATCAGCAATGAAAACTTCATTTAGCAATTGTTTTAAGTAATTTAAACAACACTGTCACGGCTGTTTTTCCAGTTCACTGCAATACCACTTACATCTGGCTTGTGAATTTGGTGGGAGAATGCAAAGGGGCACTATTCATCGCCCTTGTCCCAAGCAGAACAGTTGAACAGCTGTTCCCATAACCCATCATTCATAATTTCGTTAAGGGATCTACACACAGTTTGGTGTGTTGAAACAGGAAATAGAGAGATACCAGTTGTAATAATTGTCTTCTCAGGAAATGTTTCAAATAGTTTAACCCCAGCTGCTTAGGGTGTTTTAGTGTCATGTCATTCCAGACAGACTGGATGACTGGATGGTGAAATCAGATCTCTGTCTCCTTGTGCATACAAACATCTTACTAGATTATTACAATTAATGGCAAAAAGGATGTTTGGAAATGTAACCTGATATTTCCTACTGACACATTACAGTAAAAGATAGACTTTTGTGTTGGTAAAAATACTACTGGCGTGAGACATTTGCACAGTAGTGTATGTATCGTTATTTCATTCAAAACATCCGTGAAACATCATCATCACTCTGATTTTGCATAATTTCATAAGTCAGTATGAAATTAAACTTCACATCTATTTTCTAAATTTTCTCATTGTTAACAATTCATCTATGCATTGTTTATTTATTTATTGACCTCATAATGTCTAATCAAAGTGTCATAAAGGAATCTCCGTGTGAAAATGACTTCTCTCTGGTAATGTGCCTCCACTGTTAAGTGAAGTGCCTGCATCTTTTTTCTTTTTCAATAATCCATTACACTCAGAATGTCTCAGAAAGACTTATTGCTACATCTGTTTCATAACAATTTTAACTGTCCTTTTGTTTGTCATCAAGGTTGTGTAGTTGCTTAGGGTGTTCTATTTTGTGTAAATGTATAATAATCAAAATGTGTACTGTGTGTTTCTATTTCTCAGAATGTGATTGTCCAGAGGAGAATTGTGACATGCACTCAGGAGAGTGTCTACCTGAGGCCTCGAAAATCAGCGAGTGTAATATCAGTGAGTTCAATCACAAGACAAAACAGCAAAATTAAGCAAATTTGTTAATATGTTCCTGACAGTTCACTTTCTAATGTTAGAAAAGTTTTTGTACAACATACAAACAAACTAAAAATGTATAAATAGATAAATAAATAGAACATTATAGAGAATTACCAGAACATCATAGAGCCATATTAACCTCTTAACCCCCATTTTTGAACATAGACGTGAAAGTGCACTATCCAAACTTAAATTGTTATAATTCGTGAACGAATACTGCATCAGAAAGAGGTAACATGTTCTGCAGCTTGCTTCAAATGTGGATAAAGGCTAAAAAAAAACTTTACTAAAGTTTACCAAAATAGATTTTGTGATCTTTGAAAATCATTAGATGATTGGAAAAATCAAGCAAAATGGTTGGTAATGATGTGGAAATCCTGAAATAGTATCCTGAAGGATGACTCTGATGTTTCTTTGTTTGTGTGTGTTCTCAGCTTTGCAACTCGCTGTGATAAGAGAGGTAATTTTCTGAGATGTGTGTGCCAGGAAGGGTATGCTGGACACTACTGCGAAAGGTTGGTTCTCCACCCACAAATAGCATGTTATACATAGTTGGATTTTTGTATTTTACCCCTTAATTATATTTTTCTTCCCGCACCACCAAGATGTGCCCCAGGTTTCTATGGCAATCCAATGGAGTTGGGCAATTCCTGCAAAAAGTGTGACTGTAATGGCAACTCTGACCCAAACCTTATCTTTAATGAGTGCAATAATGTGACGGGCGAGTGTCTGAACTGTTGGGGTAACACCAGTGGTGACAACTGTGAAAGATGTGCACTGGGTTTCTATGGAGATGCCATCAGTGCCAAAGACTGTCGGGGTAGGTGCCAGCGACAGTACAATACATTGCTGACCACGTGAAAAGTTATCTGCTAATATCTAGACAACAGGGACGTCTACATACCGCAATTTCTAAAGTTGTAAACTTTGAAAACCCTTTTATGCTAACATACACATGACTCTGACCAATTGTGGCTTAGTGTTAACAGGACCCAGCAGTTACATTATATATTACATCATATTATTTATTTTGTTGAATAATATCGGTATTTAAATGCAAGATATTCAAAGTGTACCTAAAGTATACTTGCAATAGTTCCACTTGAAATATACTTTTGTTGGACTTCAGCACTATTTCCGCACAATTAAAGTGCATTAAGCACAAACAAGTTTTTCCACTTTAGCAGACTTTAAGTATACCAGTTTAGAATGGTAAAAGTACAATTGCAGGGTATTTTTATTAGGTACATAAACATGTAAAAGTATTTGTAGTATACTTAGCATGAAATACATTTATTTCAAATACATTAGTACACAGTATACATATATTTTTTACTACAGTAAAAGCTTGCTAACATTTTCATGATATAAAAATAAAGGTCTCTATCAGGTTGTTGTTAAAAACAGTTTTGTATGAGCATTTCTCATGATTTACAAGCTATCTGTCTTGTTCTCTTAGTTCGACAGTGCAGCAGCAAGTATTTGAGGCTTTTGGGAGCCAGATGCATTGCAAGCTGATTTGCTTGTCAAACCAGGACTGGCCTATGTAAATATGGAGTTTTATGGAGATTGTAGTTCTAGTGATACTTAATCCATAGTGGTAAGACTTTAAAAATGTGTGTAATTATGCTTCTATAGCAGTATCAAACAGAACAGCAAAATAATCATTTCAAACCGGTTTCTCCAAACTCTCCAGCATCAACCATGGTCTCTTCAAAAACTAGCATCAATGGTTTATTCAATGTTATTGTGTTCATTAGATTGTTCTAAATATGTTGCGAATGTATTATATTAATGGCTCAAGTGAATCGCAGTTTTGTTAGGTTGTTATAAGGTCTCTCTCTTTGTTTTACAGAATGTCAGTGTGATAAGTGTGGTACTGCATCATGTGATGACAGGACAGGTGTTTGTCACTGTAAGCCTGGAGTCACAGGTCACCTATGTGACAGATGTGAGGTATGGACATTCATGACACACTCAAGGAAATGTAAGGCCAAGAAATTCCATCTTAGAATGCATGTACTGTATGCTCAAATACATGCATGTGCATACTGAGCACATTTAACCTGCATTATCTTTTGAGAATCTTCAAATTTTTTGCATATACAGGAGGGTTATTCTGGATTTGGCAGCTGTATGGGTTGCCGTCGGTGTGAATGTGCCTCTGCTGCCCTCCGTGCCACCTGTCACCCTCTTACACACAGCTGCCAGTGCCGCCCGGGGGCTGGAGGCCGGTACTGCGAGCGCTGCCTGCCAGGATTCTGGGATTACAGCCCATCCGGCTGCAAGAGTGAGTCTGAGCGATCTCACTGCATATGGCATGATTCACTGCTGGAGCAGGTTCAGCCCATTTCAGTGTCTGTTCTATTTTGCAAGAATTGCAATGTAAAGACTTTGTAGTTATTCTGAAATTATATTCATTAGGTTGTTTTTACACTGGATTTCAAACAAAACAAAATACAAAGACAAAAAAAAGACAATTCTAAAAGTTAAATTTTATGGTTTCAAAAGACTCATCAAACCAAACTCTTCGAGACTTCAAAATAACCTACAGTATATGTGACCCTGGAGCACAAAACCAGTCATAAGTCGCACGGGGATATTTGTAGCAATAGCCAACAATACACTCTATGGGACAAAATTATCGATTTATTTTGATGCCAAAAATCATTAGGATATTAAGTAAAGATCATGTTCCATGAAGATATTTTGTAAATTTCCTACCGTAGATATATGAAAACGTAATTTTTGATTAGTAATATGCATTGCTAAGAACTTAATTTGGACAACTTTAAATGTGATTTTCTCAATATTTAGATTTTTTTGTACCCTCCGATTACAGATTTTCAAATAATTGTATCTCGACCACATATTGTCCTATCCTAACAAACCATACAACAATGGAAAGCTTATTTATTCAGCTTTCAGATAATGTATCAATCTCAATTTCCAAAAATGGACACTTATGACTGGTTTTGTGGTCCAGGGTCACATTTAATGAAAGTGTGCAGCAGATCAGCAATGAAAACTTCATTTAGCAATTGTTTTAAGTAATTTAAACAACACTGTCACGGCTGTTTTTCCAGTTCACTGCAATACCACTTACATCTGGCTTGTGAATTTGGTGGGAGAATGCAAAGGGGCACTATTCATCGCCCTTGTCCCAAGCAGAACAGTTGAACAGCTGTTCCCATAACCCATCATTCATAATTTCATTAAGGGATCTACACACCCACACAGCCGCTTGGCCACCTGCACATAAGAACAGGGATTTACATTTTTATGATGTATTTCCTATGACATCATCATCATCCCCCTCTTAACATACTATACCAGCCACATTTGTGGTCCAAGCAAATGTTGAGTTTGGTGTGTTGAAACAGGAAATAGAGAGATACCAGTTGTAATAATTGTCTTCTCAGGAAATGTTTCAAATAGTTTAACCCCAGCTGCTTAGGGTGTTTTAGTGTCATGTCATTCCAGACAGACTGGATGACTGGATGGTGAAATCAGATCTCTGTCTCCTTGTGCATACAAACATCTTACTAGATTATTACAATTAATGGCAAAAAGGATGTTTGGAAATGTAACCTGATATTTCCTACTGACACATTACAGTAAAAGATAGTCTTTTGTGTTGGTAAAAATACTACTGGCGTGAGACATTTGCACAGTAGTGTATGTATCGTTATTTCATTCAAAACATCCGTGAAACATCATCATCACTCTGATTTTGCATAATTTCATAAGTCAGTATGAAATTAAACTTCACATCTATTTTCTAAATTTTCTCATTGTTAACAATTCATCTATGCATTGTTTATTTATTTATTGACCTCATAATGTCTAATCAAAGTGTCATAAAGGAATCTCCGTGTGAAAATGACTTCTCTCTGGTAATGTGCCTCCACTGTTAAGTGAAGTGCCTGCATCTTTTTTCTTTTTCAATAATCCATTACACTCAGAATGTCTCAGAAAGACTTATTGCTACATCTGTTTCATAACAATTTTAACTGTCCTTTTGTTTGTCATCAAGGTTGTGTAGTTGCTTAGGGTGTTCTATTTTGTGTAAATGTATAATAATCAAAATGTGTACTGTGTGTTTCTATTTCTCAGAATGTGATTGTCCAGAGGAGAATTGTGACATGCACTCAGGAGAGTGTCTACCTGAGGCCTCGAAAATCAGCGAGTGTAATATCAGTGAGTTCAATCACAAGACAAAACAGCAAAATTAAGCAAATTTGTTAATATGTTCCTGACAGTTCACTTTCTAATGTTAGAAAAGTTTTTGTACAACATACAAACAAACTAAAAATGTATAAATAGATAAATAAATAGAACATTATAGAGAATTACCAGAACATCATAGAGCCATATTAACCTCTTAACCCCCATTTTTGAACATAGACGTGAAAGTGCACTATCCAAACTTAAATTGTTATAATTCGTGAACGAATACATTTTTGTAATATGATTTTGAAGTACCATTTTAAAATGTTTTTTTACAGGATGGATTTTGAGGTTTTAAGCTTTCAGCTGATATATAATTTATGATAATTACTGAAATGTAATAGGGGAAAAGGCAACGAAAAAATAATTTTTGTGACAAAGGTGAGAACTCCTGTCATGCTGTAGATTTTTGAGGTGCATTCATGTCATAAATTAATCTTTTACTGTTCCTACATAATTTATAACACATTTCTATTTAGGAGTCTTAGACCTTTCCAACGATAGTTCGTCATGATTAGATTAGGATTTAATTGTAATATAGTGAAGTTAATTTAGGCGTCCCTCTGAGAGAATGGTGACATTTAAGAGGTTAAAATATAAAAAATATGAGAACCCAATATGATTTATAAACCTCACCACCTCCCAGACTGTGATGCGTGTATCTGGAGTCTGATCGGAGATATTCGTCAGTCCAACAAAACTCTGGACCAAGTGAAAAACAGCGTGCTGAACATTTCTACCGGGGCTGCTGCCAACGACAGATTAAAGTACTACAACTACACTGCACACAGACTACAGGTAACCACACTCAAACCACGCACAGTTTACAGAAATGGACGTCCAGAGGATGTTGTATTTAATAAATAGTGTATGTTGCTGTCACTGTGTTGTAACAGGATCAGTTTTTAGGCTGGAGAAATAAGTATGCAGTGATGAGAGCAGATACGGGGCGCCTGGAGGAAGAAACCCAAAAACTGCTTACTGACATGGAACTGGTCGCAGAAGAGGTGCCACTCATTCAAGCACTTCCTGATTTCATTTATTCTGAAATTCTGAAATTCCTTAAAGGTGAAGTGTGTCATTTCTGCACCATTTGCGTCACCAATCACTCCAATCACTTCACACTCATGCCAACCTTGTCAATGATGAGGCCTGTATCACTAGTTGAACATACTTAGGGTTACAAGTCCAAACAAAAAACAGACTCTTGTGAGGAGAATTAAAATAAAGCAAGCATACACAGGCAAAATATAACTTTTTATTGTTAGAGACAACTTTCCTTTGACAACACCAATATGAACTGGCGCGCTTCCCACTCTACGCATGGGCCATGAAATAAACATGACATGAAATAAACATAAAATAATCATACAAAAGTAATCGTACCACAAATCTAGGCTTGGCTCAACCGAAACTTTGTGGTACAGGCCTCTAGTAAAGCAATTTTGACTTTGATGATGCCACAGGTTTGATGCAGTAGCATCACAAAGCCAGCAGTTTTTAGGAAAATCACTTACTGTATGCTTACTTAGAGTCTGCATATGAAGTTGGCATAGGAGAAAGTATTTCAACATGTAGAAAGTTGTCTATTAATGGTGAAGTGACATGTCTATTATAACACATTTCAGTATTTATTTCAGTATAATGATCAGGACACACTCTTAAAAATAAAGGTGCTTCACGATGCCATAGAAGAACCTTTTTGTCTAAATGGTTCCATAAAGAACCTTTAACATCTGAAGAACCTTTCTGTTTCACAGAAGGTTCTTTGTGGCAAAAGAAGGTTCTTCAGATTACAAAAACGCAAGAAAGAGATAGTTCTTTAAAGAACCTTTGACTGAATGGTTCTTTGTGGAACCAAAAATGGTTCTTCTATGGCATCGCTTGAAGAACCTTTTGAAGCACCTTTATTTTTAAGAGTGCAATAGAACTGTGCTTTAGTAACAAGGTGATGCCAGGTTTGATCACTTGTCAATCTAATCCTAATTTTGCAGCATCACAATAGAAAAAGAAACCATAATCATGTCAATCCATACAGCAGAAATGACTAATGATATTTCTCTAGCTGTATGATATACTTTCATCCATGGGTATCACAAAATGGCTGTTGCATCATTCCAGCACTCAGATGACAATCGCTATGGTCTTATTTCTTTTATTTAGTAATCTGAAAGGAAGTGATGCAAATGGACATGTACAGAAAGCCCTGAACGCCTTGACTGTGTATGACAATATTGTCAAAAACATAGATGATGCTAACATCACTGCCCTGACCGCTCTCAACATCTCCAGCAGTACTCATGACGTAAGCATACTTTGATATTACGATTTTGCACGAACATCTAATGTTCTTCAAAGAAGAGAATGGAACTATTGTATATCTACGAAAATGGTGAAAAGGATCAATTTCTTTCAACAACATAAATGTCTTATTGATTCCAAACTTTTGAATGGCAATGTATCTCTGTGCAAGGTGGTTAATGTGGTTACTTCAAATGTATTCTGATATTTCTCTCAGGCTACTGATGTATTAAACTCTCAACTGAACCTCACGCGCTCTCAGAGTAACGATATCTTCACAGAGGCCTCATCCTTGTACTTTAAGCAGAAAGGTAAAGCAGAGAAAGTGCTTCTTTTCCTACATGGATAAAACTTGCTCCACATTTCCATAGAATTGATAATAGAACATTTACATTTATTCATTTAGTACTTGCATTTATCGGACACATCTTACAAATAAGGAACATCACAAACAATTCGTCATAAGAGCCAATAATATTTATAGCATACATTGCCAAGTTTAAAATATAAACAGTAGTTGTGGATTAGAAGTTATTTCAGAAGTTATTTTAATGCAGATTGTGTGTTGTATTTTGTTTTGCAGATGTTGAATCCGCAGTCCTTGACAATAAGAAATACATTGAAGAGACCAATGATATGATGGAAAGCTCCTCTAAAAAAATAGCTAAGATCATTAGTGACATCAATGCAATTCATAAAGGCAAGAATAAATGGTTCCATGCCTGCTTATGTTGTACTAGCATCTCTGCCTGTCTTGACAACTTTGGTTCTGAATTTGGCAATTCTGTTTTTATGTGTTTACACGTACACATATTTCTGCTCTTCTTTTATTTATGTCTTAGTATTCTAGTATTTTCACCAACAAATTTTATCTTTAATCAGTTATTTCTATCTTTTGCTGTAGTATGTCAGTAGGAAATATCAGTTTACGTTTCCAAACATTCATTTCGCATTTAATTGTAATAATCCAATGATATTTTTGTCAGACAACAGCCAGTGCTCCACACAGAGATCTGATCTTATCAGTCTGTCTGGAATGACATGAAGAAACAGAACAAACCGAGACAGACTAAATCCAGAAGAACTGTGGAGAACAACGTTTCCAAGATTCTTCTGGACCTAGTCTGTCTCAGTTTGTTCTGTTTCTTCCCGTCATTCTAGAAGACTGGAAATACTATTTTAACACAATTTATATTTTATATTATATTTCTATAATATTTATATAAAATTTATAGTGTTATTTGCCTTTTAGTCTGAACAAAACAGGTTTAAAAAGTTAATGATTAGTTCCAGTCAAGACCTAGTACAGAGACTGCTCGTGTCAGAGTTCCCAATGACTTACTTGCCAGCAGACCAGTTGTGTTTCTGTGCAAGTATTGCATGTGCATTTTCAGATGTTTGCATTACAATACATATTTGTGAATAAGTTTCTCTTTGTGTGTGTGTTGTTGTCTCAGATCGAACTCCGAAACGTCTGCAGTTCACTCAGGAAGTGGCTGAGGGCACTCTGAACCGCTCTGCTGAAGTGTTGCAGATGGTGACACCCATCTTAAAGAGAGTGGAGGAGTGGGATAGCAACATGAAAAATGAGGCGTACTCCGCCACAGCTTTTGAGCGCACTGTTCTGTCTGCCGGCGAAGCAGGTATGGTAGCCCTGCTCACCTCCACTCAACTGAGTAGCAGTACCATTTAAATATCATTTAGGTAGCAACAGTAGCTTTTGAATGTTCTGTATGTAGGAACTGTAGACAAATTTAAAGTGTTTGGACTACTACTCATTTTTACTATACTTAACACCCAGTAATGGCTAGTCTTTATAGCCAGCAACAATTAGTTGTCTTTTAATTCAGAGTTCAGAGAGTGAATGTTGCATAGCCCCATAACTCAAAAACATATTTTCTCATAATAGCAAAATGGAATACCAAAAAAAAAAATTTTTTTTTGACCATTTTACCCACAATTAAAAAAGTTTGTATGTATGTATATTTATGCTTATTCCAGTATAACGTTCTCATTTTTATGTTCTAATTCATTCTAATTCATATGGTATACTGAAGCATTTTGTGTGAGGAGTGCTATTTATATAGCGCATAGATTTTCTTCCTATATCCATCTAATTTTAATGGACAAAGGCAGCAATTTGGAACAGATATTTTGTGCATGCTGGCCTTTTTCCTTGTTGAATTCGTGCAGGATTATGAAGAGTGTTGCAAATGTTTTCTTACTCAGTTTGCATGTGTTTATTTGTATGTTTAGTTGAAGACCTGTCAGAGATTGTGCCAGAGCTACTCAGTAAGCTGCGTGTGGTTGAAGAGAAAAAACCTGTGAATAATGTCTCCACAAACATCATGAAAATCAGAGAACTCATCGCACAGGCCCGCAGTGTCGCAAAGAAGGTACATCAGGCATTACAAATGAACATCATGTTGACTGATCCACATGTAAAAACACAACACATTTAGTCAGTAACATTCATAATCTCTTGTGAATAGTGTTGTGTCTTTGTCTTGTCTTGGAAAGGCTTAAAACATTGTATTGAATAAATTTGTAAATGTTTTAGAGAGTAAAAAGTGTTAGTGGTCACTGTTGCATGCTACATATTTAGCAAGTCTGTAAAACCTGAGACCAAGCGGTATAATCATTGGGATGTAAATGAAAAGAGTGAGAGAAATATTTATTTTGTAAAAAGTACTTTTCAAAGTATGCTAAAGTGTACTTCTTTTTCACAAGTGTAAACTGCACACTATTGAGAACTTGACTTGAGCATGAGAAATCAAGCGTAGCGTTAGTTCTGGCAGGTCACGTTAGTCAAGCTCGCATCACCTGCCTCTCAGCTGATCCCCATCTACCTATGGGACTACGACACCTATCTAAGCATTCATATATAAGGTCCCTCAGTATTATCAGCAGTTTTCGTATTGCTCAATAGCTAATTACCCTCCTCCATCCCCAACTCCTCTTCTGTCAGTCGGGATTCAGCCTTCTGATTCTCCTTGAATCAGACTAATTCTAAAATGTGTACATAAAATGATTGAACTTTAACAATATCTGCAATACATTTGTTAGTTCTGTTCTGTTTACCCTGGGGGGTTATTGCTGCTCTCCCTGCTCTCATCCATGCTAGGCTGCATGGATGCGCAGGGAGTTCTTGCACGGGAACAGAACCATACCGCCAATCCAAACTGTATGCTAATTGTCAATCATCTTTGACGATAGTGGTCCTGACAGAACTTGATGATAACAGACTTGACGGACTTGACTTGAACATGAACATGACCATGAATAGGCTTGACAAAACTCACCAGCAGTGGGTTACACAAGAAACTATGGAAATGTAAGGGCTACTGTATATTTACAGGACTATGGGGATCACATGACAAAAAACAATTGCACTAATATTGTTGTTTTATAGTTCCCTATGACTAAAGAAATTCCTTTTGAGTTGGAGCAATTCAAGCTTGAAGAACCTCAATTTTGGCATTTTTGCCAGTTCAATATTATACTACAACAAGAGTGCATACTGTGTGAATGCCTGTAAGTGTAAAAATGAAACTTTTCTCTATAATTGCAGGTGCAAGTGTCCATGAAATTTAATGGCCAGTCTTCTGTAGAAGTTCATCCCCACTCCAACCTAGACGAGCTAAAGACAGTCACGTCCATCAGTTTCTACATTAGAGTGGACCCAGACAAAGACCCCATAGAAGATCGCTTCCTACTCTACTTGGGAGACAAGCAAGTAAGCACTAGTGAGAGAGAAATGGGCCTGAAAGGGGGAAGTGGATATCACTCATTCAAACGCTGGTTTAGGAATGATTATTGTTTGTTGCTGGAGACATAAGACAGTTGATCATATTTTCATTGGCAGAGCAAAAATAAACAAAACTAACATACATTACCATGTCTAGAAATATTATTTACTTAATTTCTCTGTATAAAAGAAATATTAGTTATTGCAGGTGTCTGCATTGCAATGGTGATGCGATTCTGTACACTCCATTAAAGTATTCCAGATTGTTGTAGTCTGCTGTGTTTTCTACAACCTAGCATTTAGAAACTGGCAGCAAAATGAGAAATTTCCACTGTTATCTGATTTGCATAGTCCCACTAGCTAAAGCAATGTAGACAGCATGTGCAAATAAATGACACTAGCAGCTCGAACAAATTACATTTAGTGAACTCTTTCCTTAATTAGTGTGTTTTCTCATTTCACTCAGTTGTTGGCCCAAACTCACGTTCTATTCCACCCCCTCCCCCTTTGCAGTGTAAACCACGGGACATCTGCAACATAAATGTGATGAATTTATAAAAAAGGCTATAATTTTTCATTATTTATTTATGCATTGTCCTGTCTAATGTCGATTCCACTTCTCTCTGTGTGTAGGGACGTAAGGACTACATGGGACTGGCCATAAAGAACGATAATTTGGTGTATGTGTATAATCTGGGAGGAGAGGTTGTAGAGATTCCTCTCAGTTCAAAGCCAGTGAGCTCCTGGCCGCCTGTCTTCAATCTTGTTAAAGTGGAGAGGTAGAGCAATTGCTTTCATTATATGATCATGCATAATGTTTTTCTTAAGAAACACAGTTCACAAAGTACAGCAGCTAAATATGGGGGTCAGTACACTCTAAAAAATGCTGGGTTAAATATAACCCAGTGCTGGGTTAAAAAGGGACAAACCCAGCTATTATATATAGCAGTAGCTGGGTTTGTCCCTTTTTAACCCAGCATTTTCTTAGAATGTATAAATACAATTACAAAACAAATTTTCAGCACTGTTTCATCTGAAGTTTATAGAGCCTGTTGCTGTTTTTTTTTTATTTTTTATTTTTTTATTTTAGATACATCCCATTTTGTGCTGCACCAAAATTAAAACTACATTTAAAATTAAAACATGACCGTCATTCAAGATTTCATCAATGAACATGGTCCATAATTAAACCCGTTTATTAAAAATTTTTTCGACTGTTGTAATCAGACGTGTTAGGAAGGTTTCCATCTTTTAGATTTTCTTTAGTCACTAGTTTGCATGTACTGGGAAAAAAAAAGAAAATAGAAAAAAAGAAAAACTAATTTGTTACAAAAAATTTTGTTTTTCTGAACAGGACAATTCAAGAGTCATACTTGTTAGTTAATAAAGTTCTCAATCCTAACATTTTGTATGAATGTATAGCCCAAGGAAAGTGAATTTGTGTATGAGGCTTTTACATCAAATGCATGTCAGATGTTTTGCCAAGGGAAGACCATACATGCAGATATTTGTATATAGTACTTAGTCTATAATCACTGGATTTACTCTTCTTTCTGGTAGGTTGGGTCGGCATGGTAAACTGTTCCTGACGGTTCCAAGTCAAGACACCACCGCAGAGCAGAAGTTTATCCAGAAAGGAGAGGCAGATGGGACAGACTCCTTGTTTGATCTTGATCCTAAAGACAATGTTTTTATCGTGGGAGGAGTGCCTCCTGATGTAAAGGTGCAAAAATCTCTTTTTTCTAAGGACAATGTCTCAAACAGGGTTAAAGGCTCTGATATACTCAGTGAAGTTCTTTTTCATTCTTTGTTTAGGGGTAAAAATAAGTTTGAAATGCCTTTGCAGCGGTCTACTCTTAGTGAACATCCCAATGCTTCCCACACTGCTCAGAGTGGTGTTTAGATGAATATGTAAATATGTGCTGTGCTTCTTCTCTCAATAACAAAGTGGTGAGAAAATAGCAGTTAAGAAAGCATCTGATCGTTATGATGTGGATTTGTTGCACGAACTCTGCACTTCTGCACTTCAGTCAAGTAAAGTAATGTTATGTTTAACACTTTATGCGATAGTTTGCACTGGAGACTATATAGTATTAAACACTTAAATTTCTACTATAAAGTAGCTCTCTAGTGTTTACTTAAAAAATTTTTTCAAAAGACTGATCAGAGGAAATTAACCAGTGAAAAATTTCTCATCAAAGAAGGTGGAGTACAATGGTAGTGTGAAGGTGTTTACCAGCCAAATGAAATTTTCTAGAGATTTGCTTTGGCAAGCGGTTTCAAACTCCCAAAACAAACTCCAAACAAACTTCGTTTTGACCTGATTTGTTTTTGTTGTTTTTTTTTCAAAATGAAGTCACACCAGTTCTTTTTAACATTGCACTTGAAGTATATCAGGGTCTTAACACTTTATTTCGATAGTCCACTTTAGACATTCTACTATCTCTAACTTTCTATCTCATTCTATCTCTAACTTTAAGTAACTTTGCAACTATGTCAATTACAAGTCATTAGAGTTTTAGTAGACTTAATATCTGCTAGCACTTTATACTTAGCAAGTACATTTAAACTTTTTCCGATGACTCTAACCCTAACCCAACGTAAAAATCTATGAATACTCTAATGAGAGTGGATTATCGAAACAAAGTTTAACCCAGTTAAAGTTTAACCCAGTTTTTTGGTAACAAATTCATATGAACAAATGTCCATCATGTTGTTCCAGCTTCCTCCAGCGTTGACCTTGG